CTAAAAAAAGGCCATTGGGAGACACTACTTATTATTTATGGGGATTAAAAAAAAAAAAAAAAAGGAGTGGGTGGATTTTTATCATTATAGGGTGGTTGTGTACACGCACTGCCAACACACATTTGTCCAAACAACATGTGAAAGTGAATTTTGCATAATAGGTCCCCTTTAAGATAAATTCTGCTATGTTCATTTCTCTTGCATGGTTGTGGTGTAAAAACGGAGGGGTAACCGTTAGTAGTCATTTGCTTGAGTATGACATTGTGCCGAACACAAGCCCTGTGCTGAAGTCCCAGACATTTATTTTTATTTTATTTATTATTGTTTTTGTTTGTTTGTTTTTTACTTTTGAGCATTGTAGTTTAATTCAAATTGAAAGTTTTGTTTTTTAGACATAGACTATAAAAGCTGCTTTATACCTTTATGAAGTACACAATAGTAGTGACATTGTAGTCGATTTATTTTTCTGGGTTTGTTTTTATTTTTATTTCATATGTGCATCTCAGATCTGAGGTTATGCTTTGGATACTCAATGGAACTACATAGTTTCATCAGTAATGGGGGCAAACATGATGACTTCTTATATTTTTCTTTTATGATGGATTAATGAAGTGGTTTTTAATGCAGTTTTTCTCCATTAAATTAGGTCTCATATGCCCGGCCAAGCTCTGACAGCATCAAAGATGCCAACCTGTACATCAGCGGTTTACCCAAGACCATGGCGCAGAAGGATGTAGAGGACATGTTTACCCAGTATGGGCATATCATAAACTCCCGCATACTGGTCGATCAGGCCTCTGGTAATAATTCTGTCCTGCACTCTGCAATTTTCGAATTTGAATGTATGCTGGGTCTCAACTAATTTTGGGGGGCTTTCTTACTTGTCAGGTCTGTCGCGTGGAGTTGCATTCATTCGTTTTGATAAGAGGTCTGAAGCGGAAGAAGCCATCAAGGATCTTAATGGGTCCAAACCAGCTGGTGCCTCTGAACCAATCACAGTGAAGTTTGCTGCCAATCCAAACCAGACCAAGAATTCCCAGCTGCTCTCTCAGCTGTACCACACTCAATCCCGTCGGTTCGGTGGACCTGTTCATCACCAGGCACAGCGCTTCAGGTGAGACAGCCAAACACGCTTCCTGTAGTTTTAATGTTGTCCATCATTCTGTTGTAGTTTTTGCATCAGATATATTAGATTATTGGCTGTTTGTGAGAAAAGCTTTTGTAATAAAGGTGATTAATCTCTTGCTCTGGCAGGTTTTCACCCATGAGTGTTGACCACATGAGCAGCGCCTCTGGTATGAATGTGTCAAGCAGCTCTTCCTCTGGATGGTGTATCTTCATCTACAATTTGGGTCAAGATGTAGACGAAGGCATCCTGTGGCAGATGTTTGGTCCGTTCGGCGCTGTCACCAACGTCAAGGTCATCCGTGACTTTAACACCAACAAATGCAAAGGGTTCGGGTTTGTTTCCATGACAAATTACGAGGAGGCAGCAATGGCCATCGCCAGCCTGAACGGATACCGCATGGGAGACAGAGTCCTACAAGTGTCGTTCAAAACCAGCAAGTCTCACAAGTAAAGGGACTGGGGGTTTTTTTGTGTGTTGTAAGAGAACCTGAAAGAAGGCTTGTTCTAAAGATTTCAGTTATTGTTGACTGTCTACATAAACATACTCATACATTTGTGTTGGGGTGAAATAAGTGCTAGTGTTTTACTCTGGGGGTTGAGAAAAAACCCTGGGCAATTTAAAGTTTTTTTTTTTTTTGCTAAACTGTTATGATGCCTTAAAGATATCATGGCATTGTCGCTCTTTCCTTTTTAATCCCTCTTCCCTTAATCACACTGGACTTATTGGTCCCGTTTTCTTCATTATATTATATTTTGAAAGCTTTTAGCTTTATTGTCAGTACAAACTACACATCCCCACCTCTTCTAGACCTTTGTAAATGGTGACTAGTCCCATTCTTCAGTGCTCTTGCTCACCCATCTGCAAGGTAAAAGACCGTTGGAAGGACCAAAGAACTCGGAGTGTAAAGCATATGCCTTTAAGTGTTTTAATTTTCCTGTTTGGAAGTTAAATCTAAGACTGCAAGTATTGTCATCTAGGATGTCTTTTTTTTTTTTTTTTTTTTCCCCCCCCCACTGCAGTTTGCATTTGTTTTTTAAATCAAGTTATTTTGTTTGATATTAAAGTTTGTTTTGCATTTAACAGCATGTTTCTTTTTGTGTTTTGTCTGTCTTGTTTTATTTGGAAGGAGCATTTTAAAATATTCTTTTCATTATCTTTTTAAGCAGCATTGAATTCACTCCCCACATCGTGTTAAAGGTCTGGGACGTTTCTGGATGAGTTTGAGTCTGATAGGAGCAGAGTTGTAGGCACATGGCTGAAAGTTGTCAGTCTAAAATTACACATTTGCTTGCGGTGTTTGCGGAATTTACATTAATAGTGCATTTTAATGTAGTGTTTTATTCTGTACTTAGTCAATCCTAAATGCAGCTTTGTACATTTTAATGTGAAATTTGAAACTGCTTTTTGAGACCTTGTCATGTAAAGCCACACTAAGGTGAAGAATTGTATTTAATTGTTCTCTAGATATCACACGGTACTAGTAAACATCCGGTTTGCATATCAGCACTATACTTGTGTGCATGTTCATTTGTCGGTAAGTTTGATGTTGGTAATTGTACACATCATGCTTTGGGTCTTTACTGGTAGTGTGACCTAAAGTCCTGTAGCAAGATGTTCCATGTCTTTCATTCAAATAAATGCCATTGTTTTGTTGTAAAAAATGTATTGTTACTTTTCATGATTTAAAATATATTTCTAGAGGTAATAGTTAAAAAAGACTTCCAGTTAGCTTAATGTGTGGGTGTTTATAATGGGCCAATTTTGAAGAATTAATCTGCTTTCGTTTGCTGATAATCTTCGCCAAACCTTACATACTACATTTATCTAATTTATATTAATGTGTCGAGTTTTGTCATGTTTAAGTGCAAATGTTTAAGTATAGATGAACAGACTTGAAAAAGAATTTGATTAGACTTGTGGGGTAAAAGAATGTTTCTTTTTAGGAATCTTGTGCACAAGTCCTGTGAAGTCTTTAAGTTGTGATTACAGTAAAATAGTGCGTTTGCAAAAGCTGTTGGTTACAAAAGTTAACACAATAAAGCTACACTAGCAGTCATGCGGTTAAACTGGTTCATTGACAGTATGTCAGACTCACTGTACAGTCTGCAGACAAATTATCAATAAAATTTTCCCAGAGAAAAATTGTGTTAGCAATAGTATCAAAGTTATTCCTAATTCAGACCCGGTAGTGCCCCTTGCAGCTCCAGTTTGACTGCAACAATCATTATTACCACTGCATACTTTCTCTGTTTCCTGTTCAGTTGTTGGAGTTCTATTTAGGTGAAGTATTTTAATGGCTTGCTTTAAAATTAAAATGTAATTAATATCCCTTATTTTTGCATGTGTAAATACAGGGTTTCTGTGGGTCCCAAAAATCCCAATTCACGCTTTCACAAATTAATAAGTCTCAAATCAGAGCAAAAGGTCTTAAATTCATGAAGTTATGGCATTAAATGTTGCAATGTTTTTGCACTGCAAAAATTAATATATTTGGTCTCGTTTTCCAGTACAAATATCTAATCATCCTTGAATCAAGTTATATTTATTTAAAATGCAAATTAAGTATATGAAGTCTTGCTTTCTTCTAGTTTATACTAAAACAAGAACAAATATCTGTCGATGGGGAATGAAAAGTATTTTTTCTTTGGAATTAAGTACATTTTTCTGAGCCCATTGGCAGATATTGGTTCTTGTTTTAATCAAACTCACTTCATTTTGATCAGTTTCTCAGAAAACAAAACTTGTTTCATTTTGCTTGTCAGTATATCATGATTTAAGAGTCTTTAGACTGGAAAACAAGACAAAAATACTAAGGATGAACATCGCTTATTGCAGTGTGATCAGAAGGTACAGTAAAAGTTATTTCCATGTTTAAGTAAAGGTGTTGGAATGTGTATTTTCAAGCTTTGAAGTGTTGCCAACAGTGTTGGGCAGTAACGCGTTACTGTAATTTGATTACTTTTTTAGTAACGGAGTAATTTAACGCGTTATAATTTTCAAAATAGTAATTAGAGTATAGTTACAAGCCGAGGTCTCTATATGTTACTGCCGCGTTACATTGCTGACAGAATGCAGTGTTTTATAATCTAGAGATTGTAAAAAGGATGTAGCACACGCACTGTCGAGTCAAGTGCCAGTGGATTAGAGACCTGCTCCCGCGAGACCCGACGCAACAGAGTGCAGCACGGGACAAGATGTGCGAGTGCTGCTGCTGCGGGCGGGTAGACACTTGTGTGTGTGCGGGATGCGGGAGAAAAAGATGATTCACAGGACTCCCGCAAAATAGAAATATCTAAACGTAAAATATCTCAAACAAATAAATTGTTATTCATCTATTGCACAAAAGCAACATGAACTAATATAAACGATTAACAGGTGCGAGCATATGCAGAGTTTCTATTTAGGCTATAACACGTGTTTGCAGCGTTGAGCAATGCAGTGCTGAAATTTGCGTGCTCACGAATCCTCTCATTATAGCACACGAATTGTAGACATTATGAAAGATTCATTATGCATATATTTATTGTGTTATAACAGAGATTTGCGAGATTGCGATGAACTGAGATGTCTTTTAGAGATTATAAATGCAGCGCTCTTTGCTGGCATTCTGCCATGCTAAACCATGCACGCAGCAGCCGCTCGCTTTAGTTAAAAATAAGTGTTCTGTGAATGTTGATGCTTTAATAACAAAAATTAATCGGGAGCGTGTATGCTGGGATCTCATAAATTTCATGCAGAAAAAAAGTAAAGTAACTAGTAATGTAACTAATTACTTTTGTAAAAGTAATCAGAACAGTAACGTGGTTACTGGATTAAATCAGTAATTTTATTACATTTTCAGAGTAACTTGCCCAACACTGGTTGCTAATGTGCATCTTCTGCTCCTTAGACATTTACACTTTACCTTTAATTTTCCTTACTTGGTCTTGAAAAGGTCTTTAGATAGTTTTAAACTTACCTTTAAAAAACTGCAGAAACCCTGAAATACTTTGTAAAAATGTGTTACAAAAAATAAATTGAAAATTGAATGCGATTAGGATTAAGGCCTTAATAATTGGGTCAGCTGTGCTTTGGAACATGGTCATACGTCTGTTTTGTCCCTGCTGAATTAGTTTCAGTGGTCATAACCTCTGAATGGCTAATTTGTCATTAATGTTCTTTGGGCTGATCATCCTGATCTTTTAAACCTGAAGCAAGCAGCTCCATCTAATTAGGCGTAAACTCTGCTTGTTTTCTTCTAAACTAAATCCGATGTTAACGCTCTAAACCATCTGTCCTCAGGTGCATGCCGTTTCTCATAACATCACTGCGCAAACATTACATCCATTTTTGTATCTCAATATATATATATATATTTTTTTTTTTGTTTGTTTATTACAAACGTTTTGCAAGTTCATTACACAAAAATACAATAATGCAGTTGTTTAAAAAATAAATAACATTTGCAAATCAGTCACCCGTGTTGTTGCACGTGATGCTGGATAATTGGCTTTTGACTGCATTTTTAAATGTCACTCAGTTTCCTTCCCTATCACCTTTAAGATGTTGTTGAAGGATGTCATCGCAGTTCTGGATCGTGTTTTGACCGTAACATCAGCATGAACCTGAAGGACAAAATTCCTGAATGCATGCCAGCATGCAATAACTTTTATACCTCCAGAAAAAGAGGCCAAAAAAAAAACAACCTTTTTCGGTCCTGTCCTTGTAAATAGAAGCATTTCCCTTGAATAGGATGTATTCTAAATGTATTCAGTTGTGCAAAACAGCCAATATTAGTCTGTTTTAAAAAGCAGAGATGGAAGAACCAGAGAATGTGTTCGTTCAGTACTTCTTTGTGGCACAGTGGTAGAAAGGAAGTTCCTGGATATGTGTAAGGCATCCGTCTGGTGACTCAGACCTGACATATATTGTAGTAGACTGTGGGTCGTTCAAAAACAGTGTCACCAACCACCTCCAATATACAGTCTTTGCCGCCCAGCAGTGGTACTTTAGTTAAAGGCACATTCTCCATGTTTTGAGCAGTCTGGTTGTCCTGTGCAGCTCCATTTGCGTTAGCCTGACAAAAAGAAGGTCACATATCATCAATAAGCCTGTGGTATTTTGAGATGAATTAAAGTTTAGGCATGATGCTACAAAAGCCTTTGACTTGTATAACAAACTTGTAAATGGGTCAATGACATGTTAGACTGTCCACAACAAAGAAAAGGAAGGAAAAAAAAATCTAGAGTTAAAAAAAGTTTAATCTTAATAATTTTTTTAAAAAGAAAAATGGTTTTAAATACATTTTCAAGATTAAGAGTATTTTTTATAAACATTGAGAATAATTCATAAATACCATTAAGGCTTTAGGGACATTTACATGTATAACCTTAAAATGTCTTGCCTTGTCATAAAGTTGATCTAATATTTTAGGAATCTTGAGTCATTTACTGTTGTTGTTTTTTGTGTGCATGAAGCAGTTTTGTTCAAATATGTCTTCTTTTTTTTTTCAAGAAGTTCATTATTTTAATGAAGCTTTTTTTTCTTTATTATGACATCAGGACAGACATTTTCTTCACTTTATGTCCCCTAAAAATATTAAAATAAATATTAATTTAGAAATTAAAAGAATGCATCATTACAAGTATGCTCGCAAGTCATTACATTTACACATCTGACAGATGCCTTTTATCCGAAAGCACCTTACAATGCATTCAAGGCATACATTTGATCAGTTCTTGCTTTCCCTGGGAATCAAACCCATGATCTTGGCGTTGTGAGAGCCATGCTCTACTTTTTGTGCTACAGAAAGGTTATACGCATACATTTTTGTTTGAATGTATTTTTAAATAAATTCATAGATGCAGATGGGAAAAAAATTCGTGTCATGTCATTGACCCAAATAATATGAACAGAAAACAAATGTTAGCTTACAGCTCTGTCAGGTGGGAAGTCTTTTCGACACAAGTGGCCAATGATTCCAGCTGCCAGAGCATCTCCTAGTACGTTGATCATTGTTCGAAAGCGATCTCTTTAAACCAGAAAGGGTAGAAGACTTTATTCTTGATTCTATTAGTATTATTTCCCTCATGCATTGTTTTAAACTGTACTCTTAATAGTTACTTTTATAATATTTACTATTTATATTTCATTTAGATGCTACATTGATTACAGATGATTACAGCTATCATGAAATGTAATTTTTGTATTTTCCAGCAGATAAAATAGCATCTCAACTCACAAGATCCAATCAATGGCCACAATCAGTGTGATGTCATCCGCTGGCAATCCGACGGATGACAGCACTATCACCATGGTTACGAGGCCTGCCTGCGGGATTCCTGCAGCACCTATGCTGGCAGCGGTTGCTGTTATACTGGAGGAAATCAGAATAGTATGATTATTATGATTTGACTCAATTCCTGATGGAACTGATCATGCTAGATGAGTTGATCTAGTTTCCTATTAAAACTGAGTTTGCACAAAATGGGATGTCCAGGGATGTCCTCCCTCCAATATCCAGAATAGTGGTAGATCAAAATGGATGATTCTTAAATTTTCGTTTAGTTTCCCAATTCTAACTAGTGGTCGAACAATATGGATTTTTTTGATGGTCAATGCCAAAATCTTAGAGAGCAGGGTGGCCGATGGCCATTATAAAGCCTATATATATATATATATATATATATATGAAGAGCATAGGAGCCTGAGAAAAATGCTCATTTTAGAAGAAAATTTCAAATGGCACTTAGAGGCTTTTGCATCTGAATTCTTCATATATATATATATATATATATATCACTATTAACTTAAAGATAGTAAAAACACATGCATACTAATTGCTGAAATTTATATTTATTTTACATAATATTTACTAAATTATATATTTTGAAAATGAAAAAATATATAAAAAAATTAAACTTGATAAAAAAACTAACCTGTAAAATAAAGAGATTTATTTAGAGGGCAAATTCTTGATTCTGTAATTCTACTATAGTATTTTACACAAATAAATAAATTGTTAAAATATGAATAAAAAGGAAGTAAACACTGTAACCAGCAGTGCACAGCAGTAATCTGGTAAATTTGCGCACACTGGGAATAATATTTTTTCAAATGAAGACAAATTATTATAATTTTACATAAAGCACAGTGAATATGACATCAACATGACAAAGCGGCAAACTGGACACAGCGCAGCATAGTTTGAATGCAAAGATTTAAAGTTTGTCGATCATGGGTGTCCAGTGACAGATGAACTCTCATGTCAGCATTCAATTCGCACAAAAGGACCGTTAAACACAGAGTACACTTGTTTTTATGCAGTCTACAAATGCACACTTTTCAGAGCTGAATTCGACAAAGTTTGCAACTTGGTGAAATTAAACGTTCATTAGATAGGCTATTCAAAGATTTGTTTAAATGAAATGCGCATTTGGTGAACGTTGGCGTTTGTTGAGAACGTCTTTGTTACTATTAATAGAAAAGAAAATGCTATATGTTTTCGTATGCCCTTTACTAACTTTGTTCTGTGTAATAATTTATTAGAACTGTTAAACAGAGACAGTAAACTAATGAAGACAGAGAACAGGAGCTCTGTGCGCTCAGGTGCTGGCGTTCTGAGCACTGTCAAAATAAAAGTCTATGCTATATTTGGTTACATCTTTGCCTGTCTGTAAGTACCTGATGGTGACCAACTGTCCGAAATCCAGTTCGTAGTCATTGACCTGGGCAATGAAAATAGCAGCGACTGCTTCATAAAGTGCCGTTCCATCCATGTTAATGGTTGCTCCCACTGGCAGCACAAACCGGGCAATCTGCCTGTCCACTCGGCAGTTCTCCAGCAAACATTTCATTGTAATGGGCAGCGTTGCAGAACTGTGAAAAAGAGAGAATATCACACTTACAAGGTCATGAAGTCAATGCATGTTTCTGCTTAATTTAATGGAGATGGGACAAGCCATTTACACATTTTTTGAGGAGTTCATCTTACCTGGATGACGTGGCGAGGGCAATGACCATGGCTTGCAGAAGCCCTCTGATGTATGTGAAAGGATTTTTCCATGTCAGAATGAAATAAAAGAATGGAAGCAAGATGAGGCCGTGCACAAACAGGCCTGCCATGACCGTCACCCCGTACCAGCCCAGCTTCTTCCCAAGTGTGGAGGGATCATTCATATCCAGGATTTTGCCAGCCACCAGGAAGATGATCCCAAAAGGAAAATACCTGTTGAAAAATACAGAGAAGTTAAAGAGTATGGTAGGAATTAATCATATGATTCTCAAGAATGTGATTCTTCAAATTCTTCAGTCATATTGAGGACTATTATATGTAATTATGAGCAAGACTTTGTCTTCGACAGTGCTGTCCTGTCATTAATTTGGCACATTAAAGGGATGGTTCACCCAAAAATGTAATTTACTAACCCTCATTCATTCCAAACCTTTCTTTTGTGGAACACTTTAATTGTGTGGACAAAAACAGTTCAATAATTCTTCAAAATCTCTTTTCTGTTCTGTAGAATGTCATACAGATTTGGAACAACATGAGAGTGAGTAAATGACAGAATTAACATTTTTGGATAAACTATGCCTAACTATTAAACTCAACATGAAATGGCACTTGCAAACCTATTTTACTTCCATAATGTGATGCATTTCGAGTAAAACAGGAAATTCAGTGAAAAAAATGCAGGAAAGTATTTTTTTGTCCACTGAGAACTGAACAAAAAAAAAGTTATTTACAAAGTGATTTATTACATTTTGATATTCTTTGAAGATTTAGTACTTTGTTGTTTTTTTTATTACAAAACATTTTGTTCTTTGAATAAACTGAAGTGATTAATTGTTAACATTAAAAAATATATGTATTAAGGAAGTAAATAGGGTACATTTCAATTTCATGTTGAATCTCAGGCCTCAATCATTGGAGTCAAATACAGAAATTGTGTGCCCTGAACTCAAAAATAAATAAATAAATAAATATTTAAGCCTAAATATAAGATATAACAAACTAAAAAAATCTGTCAGTCAGTCATTAGTGAAACAGGTAAAATTTCTGTAATAGTACTAATAAACTGAATGCGTTTTAAATACAATAACCAGGTTCATATATTTATCAGCAATAAATCCAAGTTCTCATACATTTGAACTAACTGAATATTGCTTGTTCCACAGCTAGCCATATTTTATCCATGTTCATACTTTTTAACTGAATAATTTTAACTGTTTTCACAATGAACAGATTTATGCTGATTCTAAGCAATGTGAATTAATGCTTTTTGAAATTATGATTTTTTTAAGCAAAATCAAATAGATGAAAATAGTTATGCCATGATTATTTTATTTTATTTTAATTTGAGTGCAGAATTCGGTTTCATTTATTAGTTTATGTTAAAGAGGTCATATGATGCGATTTCAAGTTTTCCTTTCTCTTTGGAGTGTTACAAGCTGTTCGTGAATAGATAAGATCCCTGAAGTCTTCCAAAAGAGGACACGACTAGAAATCAGTGGTTAAGTTGTATTTACAACACTGTTCCAGAACACTTCAACCCAAATATTTTATGGAGGACTGTTTCCTGATCCTCGAAGAGTAGACTACAATGTCGGCTGTTCTGACTCTCAGACTGTAAGTATGTTTTCATATTTAAAGAATTTGCCACTGATGATTCAAACGCGAGTTTTGAGCAGTGTAAAGTAGTGCTTGTTGTTTGTCATTTCTCCGATCACAAATGCAGACATGGTTTTATGTTTACGCGGCGCGATGCAACGCAATGTGTAAAAAGACAGTATAAGTCATTATAATCCGTAATTATGTCCCCACTGGATGCAACAAATGCCTCGTTTATAATGGGTTTTATTGGTTTTGTCTCGTCGCTCCGGGACACAGCATCACAGTATGGTGAGGTGTGTAACACATGCTTGAGGTATTCGGCCAATCATAACGCACTGGATAGCTGACCAATCAGCGTACACCTCACTTTTCAGACCGATGAGCTTTGTAAAAATCGACGTTTCAGAAAGGCGGGGCATAGAGGACCAACAATAATGTACAGTATGTGGAAAATAATGTGTTTTTTTAACCTTAAACCGCATAAACACATTTCATTACACCAAATACACAAAATAATGTTCTTTTTAGCTAAATCATATGACCCCTTTAAAACTGTGTAATACAAATGGATGGAAATTTTATCTGCAATTCAAAAAGATAAATTTTAAATTTAGGCCTAAATATTTTTTGGAGTGTGACACATGGGGTGACAGCGTTGTTAGCCCCACACTACCTAGCATCATGTTGAAGTGTGTGACAGCTCTTAAACGCAGGTGATCCATAATCCCTGCATGTGCCTAATGACAGCATGGCTTTAACACACCTTCATGCTTGCAGCCGTTATGCACGTGCCAGCTGCATGCTGGAAACTTCCACTCAGATCCTCAGCTAATGGTATCTGAGCCCTCAAGATTTTCATTGGCCAATCCTGGCCAAGTATTCTGTAAATACTACTTCCTGATCTTCATTTCAACAACAAACAGTTTTTGTATGGAACTGCTCCTTTAAAACCCCTAAATGAGATGATAGTTTTGATTGCCAGATTTTTGAGTATGACTACGTTCACACCAGTGCTTCTTCTCTTACCATACAGCCGCATTAATGATCTTCATCACACACTCATTGATGCACTGGCAAACGTTCACCAGAGGAGCTCCCCGTTCGCCCATTTTACCAAGTAAGAGACCTAAATGAAAAGTGCTTTTTATAGTTATGCATTTGATCATGATTTTACTTAGTAAAGATGCCTCATTAGGTGAAGGCAGATGTTTTACCCATTGTGGCTGAGAAAATAACAATGCCGAGTACGTTCATCTGCTGACTGCGGCTTGGTCGGGTTGTATACTCGATGTCTGGAGGTGGCGTTAGCTCCAACAGCACCGTCCGACCCTTTGGATTGTCTTCATCAGGCATCAAGTAGACAAAATTTGGGCGTCCTGTGTTCACTGGTGGTTTTATGATTGGAATAATGTCTGTCTTATACTGAAACAACAAAATATAAAAGTCAACTCAAGTCACCTTTATTTATATAGCGCTTTATACAATACAGATTGTGTCAAAGCAGCTTTACAGTGTTAAACTGAAAAAACGTGCTGATTATGCAAAGCTAGGTTTTACATTTTCTTAAAGTGCCCCTATTATGCCATTTTTTTAAGGTTTCTAATATTGTTTTGGGAGTCTCCTACAATAGGATTACATGCATGCAAGGTCAAAAAACGCTTTCGTTTTCTCAAAATATGCATTTAATATCACCTCATTTTCCAGCGATTCTCAAACGATTCGTTCAAAGCAGTTCTAAGATTCAGTCTCTCTAAACCCCTCCTTTCCGTGAGCCTACTCTGCTCTGATTGGTCAGATGGCCCAGTCTGTTGTGACTGGTCTACAGCGTACAGCGCGTGTCGGAAACAATAGGCCCATTGCCATAGTTCTGTATTTTGAATGCTCGATAGAAAATATAAACATCTATTATTTATCATACTTGTAATTCAGTGGAGCCAGCTGGTCCAAATAATCAGGGTACTGAGCCATCTTTCAAGATCAAGCGTTTAGTGAATCCCGCGTTGAACTCCCCGAGATTTTTTTTTTAACTCCCTGAGATTAGAGAAGCAGTCGTCGATAAAATGACGTGTTTGTGTGTCGGCCAACGTAGAACATAGGCAGGAATTATGCAAATGTGCTACCCAAGTGGGATTCGAATTACTAACGACTCGTTTAGGCTGTAGAGAGTCGATTCTTTATTTTGGGAGACAATAACTTTATTTATCGTGCACTTTCGGCTTTGCAACTTTGCTGATCGTTTACATTCACATACAGCTACATTACACACTGCATGAAAGGCAATATTGGAAATGGCATAATAGGGGCACTTTAAGAAATTGTGAGTGGTTTTTGCTTTTATAAATCTGGTTATAACAATTTTCTATCCTGATCCTACAATGCAAGTCTAATGGATTTTATTGTCCACCAGGTGAAAGTCGACAATAAACCGCATGATTTGAGGTATCGTCAAAGACTGCATGTATTTATACACAAAATGGTTTACTCACATTACTATGAATTGGAGAAAGTACAATGCAATAGAGTGCAACAGTCGAGTTCCGGAAGTAAAAAAAATTTCTCCATGGAGATAATGATTTTTAACAGTAACTGATAAATGTTTAAGGACCAGTGTTGGGGGTAAAGCATTACAAGTAACGCTAGTTACATAATCAGATTACTTTTTTTCAATGCATTACTTTTAAATTTACAATGGAATATCTGAGTTACTTTTTCAAATAAGTAACACAAGTTACTTTGTTTGCCTATTTATTCACTGACACCTTTCATGTCCCGGTGTTGAGAGAAATTGGGAGTGAGGTGCAGAGACAGAGTCACTTCCTTCAGCCTGAGACTTATTAATTTCACTTTTGGAGTAAAAGGGCCTTTACAGTTGCCCAAAATATAACTTTTCAGTTTATTTTTATTAAAAAACAAATAAGCAAGCCCAGACCAGGTGACAAAAAGTAATGCAAAAGTAACGTAATTCATTACTTTCCATAAAAAGTAATGCAATTTTTTTTAATGGAGTAACGCAATATTGTAATGCATTACTATTAAAAGTAACTTTCCCCAACACTGTTAAGAACAGACCTGTTATGAGCTCTGAGGTTATTAATTGATTGCATATGCTTTTGGGAAAGCAACTGTTCACAATAATCAGGTTTAATAGTGGAATTACAGCTTCGTTACCCATGATGCTGTACAGAAAATTCCACCAACTAGAGAGTCGCAGCAAGCAAAGCCCACCAAACGAGTTCCTTAGCCCTGTCCACTCCCATGAATCACCGCAAGTCTCATACGCTACGAGAATAGTTAAATATTTGTGTGTGTGTGTGTGTGTGTGTGTGTGTGTGTGGGTGTGAGTGTGAATATATACAAATATATACAGTACATATTTCATATTTGGCAAAAACCTTTAAAAATATAGGTTCTATACATACAATCAACAGCTTTAAATTCATAGTTTTATATTTCTTTTTTTTATTTAACTAATTTGCAATGCTTCATGGGAAAAATATAGAACCAATACTGCTGAAAAAGTGGGCGGGCACTTATGCACTATGGTGGAATAAGTCCTGCCTTCTAAATAAAAGAGCCATTTGTCAATGTGATGGTAAAGTCATCGGATCACTACAAATGACGGTTCCATAGAAAGTCAAATGGAACCAAAGTCAGTGTCCTGAGACGCATGCATGTTTAGGACTGTGCATGCGCATTGGCTGGGACCAACCTTGATTTTAACACTATTTGAGAATAATAAACAACATGTATGGGATTGTCTCCAGGTAACTATTTTGAGCATGCAAAACCTACATGAACGAGGCAATACAGAAATTACAAAAACTGCTTGTCAAATTCACATTTAAATAACATACTTCAAATGAGCAATACAATTTGACAGGTATTATTCATGCTGGTAGTACAAACAGTACATTTATAAGCTCATTTATCAGATGACAGGTGACTGTTTACTCACCTGCTGAAATGTGGCTTCAATGAGATTGGAGGGGATCATATTCCTGGGGATGGAAATAAAGTATAAGTGTAAAAGTGTAGAGCAACTGGCCATATTTAAAGCATATGATGCCAATTCATTAACTGTTTCTTTATGAATATTATATTACACCACATCTATACTTTATGATATGGCGTCCACCCTGGAGACGTGAACACATAGGCCAGCTATTATCAAGTATAGCAGCGCAAGACCAATAGCAGCTTGCTGTGTTTATGGGCAGAGGGGAATGGGAGGGTCCTGCTCTTCTTAATTGGCCCTTTGTGCAGATTACTAAAAATACCCTATAATCGCTGCTTTAATAGGATTGAACTGTATGGGATGGCCTAAAATCCCCAGACATGGGCAACTCTTCCTATGAATGGCACTTACAGTGTCCAAGAGACACATTTCATGTCTTTTGGGGGACTTATGAACATGTCTATCAAAATGAGGAGAAAATTACCTCAAAAGCTTATAATTTTAGTAATACAAATGCTGATATTAAAGGAGAAGTTCACCCAAACATGAAAACACTATCATCATTTACTCACTCTCATGCCATTCCAACTGTTTTTCTTCTGTGTAAAAACACCTTAAAACTGGTCCATGATTTTCCTTTTATATATAGCACACTCATATTATAATACATTCTTCTGAAGCAATACAATAGCTTTGTGTGAAGAACAGACTGTTGAAGTTCATTTAGACTGATTTTGTGAACCGGATTTTTGAAAAGATCTAACTCAAAGAACAATTCAACCACAAATCATGAACATGCTAAGGAAAGCTAGTGCGAATTTGATTCGGTTCCTCACACAAAGCCATTGAATGGCTTCAGAAGACAGAAGATATACTAGCATAATTCATATGAATGCCTTTTAATACTTCTAATGCTTTTTTGTGTCATTTTTTAAGCCTGAATGCCCCATGCTTTGTAACTGCATGGAAAAACTTTCTCTTTCTGTGTCACAAAAAAGTCATACTGGTGTGAAACTATATCAGAACAGAACTGTCATATTTGTGAACTTTCCCATTTTCCAAGTAGTACATGTTCCTGGATCAGCAGTACTGAAACAGAACACTATAGGTTGATTAGGAGGTTGTCCAAGCCTTTAACCCCATATCTAGGCCTACTCCTAAAATCGGCTTGGCTGATATAAATGTTAGTTCAAGACCTACAAGAATGTTGTTGCTACTTGACAAATTTTTTTTGGACAGTCATACCTGACTAGATCCAGCAGTGCATCTGCAGACGTTATGACTTGTCCACCTCCCAGTCTACTGCTCTCCGTGTGTGTCCCATAGCCAGGTTTGATGATAAGAACGAGTACAATGCCGACCACTACTGCGATGAATGTGGTCCAAAGGTAGTAGGTGACCGTCAGCACCCCCATCCTGCAGAAGGCCTTTGACTCCATAGACGACAGTCCAGACATTAAACTACAGGCAGACAGTACGAGTTGATATGAGGAGATATTTACACAATCTTTATGTAAGACAAAAATGTTTGTATCAAATATGAAGATGAGAATGAGTCAAATCTCCACCTGGAAGTGATTAGGGGAAGAATCAACATTTTAAGTATCCGCATGAGCAGCTCACCAGGAAAGGAGAAATATATTTTTGCCTGATTACAAAAACAGAGAAAGAGCTTTTCAGATTATAAGCAATTTTGCATAATTTCAACATTTCGGTGTAGAAAAAAAAAGAATTCATGTTGGTAACACAGGCTGAAATGTCATCCAGTTTTACTACCACATGATATATTTTGTCATATTTTTAAAAAGTTTGGAATGATTAACTCCACCCATTGGGGAGCTGGATATCATTTGTGTCTGCAGTGAGCACTAGATTCTATGACCAAATCTAAATAGTAGTGTATCACACTGTAGTGTTTAACATTAATAATAATCAGAAATGTTTCTTGAGCAGCGAATCAGCATTTTAGAATAATTTCTGAAGGATCATGTGACACTTTAGACTAGAGTAATGATGCTGAAAATTCAGCTTTGCAATCAAATGAATAAATTACATTTAAAAAATGTTAAAATGAAAAACAATTATTTTAAATTGTAGGCTAATACTGTAATATTTCAAAGTATTACTGTCAATACCAATTGTTTGCTCTTCCTAAGGGGAAAAAACCCTCTCATTTGGTAGATTACTATAAAATTAAAGGTTTATATTATTATAATCACAAGTACTCAAATAAAAACTGAAATGTTTGTATACAACTCAATTGCACATAAGGTTGTTTTCATAAGAATTTGTCATTATGACAGATTTAAACATTCATATGTAATTAACAGTAAAAAAGACCCTCTCTAGTGTTTTATTTATTTCTTTATTTTGAACTAACCAGCTGTGAACACATAACACTTGCAAGGTGAATGCAAAGTTAAGTGACATAGATCAAAAGCTGTTTTATTGACGTCTTTCTGCAGTTGAAACATTGATGGGAGTGATTACTTGAGACATGATACATTCCGATAAGTTGTATTGTACCTTTCAACATAGGCCTACCTTCTGTTCTGATGTTCATTCATGTTTATTTCGCGCTATAACTTGTATTAAAGTGGCAGATATGACTGGCGTTTCTGAGGCGCTACAGCGATCTGTTATGCCACATTTAAATGCATCAAAATGGCATTTATTGTTTGAATTTAGCATTAGAATTGGTTAGTTTCTTATCAGAAGTAACAAAGCACAAACCTCTTAGCAAGTAGACTGGATGGGAGGCGAACAACGTTTGGTGACGGGAAAACCACGGTAAGCCTGGCCACGTGAGGCCTACCGGATACCGGTGATTCTCACAGGGTCAAATAGAGCCTGAGCTATTTTTAAAGTGACATCGCGTTAATGTCTTACTAGTAGATAATTGCTTTTATCGGCCGAATTATTGGCCGATACATCGGTTAATCCCTAATATAGCACACCTCTCCTCATGCCAGAATTTAAGATTTGTTCTTAAAAGTGTGTTATTAAAATTATGATTAGGCTATGTTTAAGTATGAGTAATAGTACTGATGCTTAATGTAATGCATTAATGTAACTGCATATAGCCTATCAGTAAGGCCGGATGAATTTGCTATATGAGAGCAGCCCATCTGAGCTACTTCCCCTGACTGACTGTTGCCATTTGCTCTGCTGTTCAGCTGGGTCAGGCGTCACGCGCGGCGAGACTGTCTCTCACGTCAAACTCCATTTGTCTCGGCTGGACTGCTGTCTGTCTGGGATTAGATCACTGAGCACAGATGTCCTTAAGTACCTCTTAACATTCAAACCTACATGCCTCATCCCATCACAACATAGTTATAATAGTAAAAATTACACATTGTACAGATCTAATTCTGGGGTTTATGATCACGTGACCTGGGTTCAGTAGAGATTTCTAAACAACAAAAAAATACAAATAATCTCAATTTATTTCAGTTAAACCCCAGTACAACGGGAAATAGTCCTTAAATTGGCATATATACTGCCGCTCAAAAGTTTGGGATCAGTAGGATTTTTATTGTTTTTTAAAGAAGTTTCTTCTGCTCATCATGGCTGCATTCATTTTATCAAAGCACCAAAAAAAAAACACAGTAATATTGTGAAATATTCTTATTGTGAAATAAGTCTTAATATACTTTAAAATATCATTTATTCCTGTGATGCAAAGCTGAATTTTCAGTATCATTACTCCAGTCTTCAGTGTCACACAGAGACTGTTCAAAACTGAAATAAAATTGTTGAAGCTGATAGATAGGAAGAGCTCTGACACACAGCATGACATACTTCGCTTTCCATCCACTATCTGACTGCCATATTCAAAACATACTTACACATCAACTTACATACTTTATGAAGACACAAAGTGACTATAGCTAGTATTTGACACCAAAGTTTTAGACAGGACAGGACACATACGTCTCCAAGATAAGAGCTTCATCTAAGAAGCATTTATTGTCTACAGATATCTAATTAACATTAGTTCTACATATGTTCTAAATCTGTGTTTTACTGATTAAAAGCATGACAAAACATTTTGACCATTTCAGAAATAGATAATATGTTTGACGTGGACCTAGGCTATTAAAATGCATCACTACAACAACTTGTGTACATTTCCATAATTCCTTCCTTGTGTGCATTTTCAGTAACATGTCCACAGTCATTTATTTCTCTAAAATCCACGTTTAATAAGCCTTACCTGTGTGGAGAGGTCCAGACCCCTCAGCGTGAAGCCCAGGACGCATCCTGTGATCACGGCTAGAACCGAGAGCGTCAGCAGCCCATTTTTCCTTATGTAGTCCTTCACATACTCTCTGACTCTGACCGAGAATGTGCTTGCCATGAAGTCCTTCATTCTCTCCGGCGGGGTTTTAACCGGTCCCGCCGGAGAGAAGAAGATGCCAGGCTCCGGAGGCGCCTCTTCGGCATCTGTGGGTATCAGTAGCTCCTCCATGGCGAGACGCTGCGAGTAACGCAGGAGGGCAAAGCGTAACCTTTTCTAACAAGGGACTAAGCCATCATGCATCCATCCAGCATCTCAAGACCACGGTCAGAAGGATTTAGGAGGCTTAGAGGATTAGGATGGAGTAATAAAATCTAACACTTCCCTGTTGACAGTGGCTCTGCCACACTTCTGGGTTTTTGACATGAAGTGATGTCAGATAACCTCCACTTTTTGTGTATTTACTACTGTAGCAAAGGGTGAAATAGTAATGCACTGCGTTGTTCCCAAACCTAATCCATAGTGAGGACAGGTGATCTGTCTCTTAAAGCCACAAGAAAAGTCAGCATGTGCATTCTCATGAGCTCATTACAATTGAGAGCGTCCCTTAAGCACAGGCTCAATTAAATAATTTTTTTCTCTGGAGAACAGGTTGGCACAGGTGAATTTGTCGTGTTTATTAAAGTTGAGTACTCTTGATACAGTCTTATGGTTTAAGGGATTTCCCAGGTTTGACTTGAGTAGGCATAGTGCTTAGCCTTTCTGTTTCCATTTCCATTTTTGCATTTAACACACACCTTGACTTACATTGCATTCAAGGTACAAGTTTTATCAGTTCATGCATTCCCTGGGAGTCGAACCTATGACCTTGGCATTGCCAGTGCTGCGATCTCCTGTTCGAGAGCTATAGAGTAAAAATAGATCTCGACTGGTGTACATAAACACAGATTCTAACAAATTTTCACACAATTTACTATTAATTCGATATACTTTTATTCACACTTAAATGTGTGATCATTAGTGGTGAGACTTTTGAGGTTTCATATCCGCCTTATTCTTCAATGCGGAAGACTTCCGGTTCATTAGCCACCGCAGGGAAATAACTAGAAGAATTAACAACATGCAGTAAACAGTAAAACTGTTTGCACTACAAACCAGTGTGTTCATAATTAAGATAATACATTAATATAATATGGTAAGACACACCAATTTGCAATATCAAGCAGCAAAATTAGCTGTTTTGTACAGCTAAAAATAGCTGGATGTGAATGAGACCGGAAGCCAGACCCATAACATTTAGAAATGGCCGCACCCTCTCTTATGGGAAAAATAAGGTGGATAGTTACTCGAATCTTTGAATCCGTTAACTAAAAAGATTTATTTAAATTCATTCACTGATTTGTTTCAGTATGGAAGTCCATTTTGCTACGGAAATAATTAAATAGAAATATAGCTATTAAATGAGATTGTATAGGCCTATCTCACTGTTCAGACATGGTTTTTAATACTACGCAATAAACTCGCAATACTACGAAAAATAAATCAGAATTCAGACTTTTTTCCTCGCAATTCCGAATTTATATTTCAAAATATTTTTTCCTCAGAATTCAGAGTTTGCACTTTGAAATTCTGTTTTTGTTTCTCCATGGAATAAAAAAAAGATCATTGCTACTTTTTAATCTCACAATTCGGACTTTTTTCTCACAATTGTGGGTTTATATCTCACAATTTGGACTTTTCTTCTCAGAATTGCAAGTTTACAGATCTATGCCATAATCTTCAAATAGACCCCATAAATGGTGTTTAAGCATTATAATGCTAAAATATTTGGTATATTGTTCTGATGATTAAACATTAGTGGACCATTTTCATAGGTAATGTGATGAACTATGTCTGTGGTTACTCTCAGTGGCATTTGCTAGGGATTCTGGACCCCTTCTGAAATAAAATAGAATCGTTTAATACTGTTTGTTTGCAAGTGGCTTGATGTGATATTTTGTTATCAATTAACTGTTATTGTAAACGAGGCCAGGTTTTCTGGAGACAGTGTGTTAGTCAATGAAACCTTGGATATAACAGTAAACCAATCAGCCATAATCCTGTCATGACAAAAGGCAGTTTCACGTGACAATGGTGTGTAATCAGTCAGTGTTAATGGGTCTGATAGGTCAGGATCTATGTGCGTCAAATTGGGGCTTTGTAGCACACTCCAGGTTAAAGGAGCAGACTGGTTACATGGTGATCTGGAGCACTTCCAACTAGGCTATACCTATTCAGACAGTAAAGAAGAGAATCAAAAATCACACAACCAAGAGAATCACTTTATTAAATCAAAAATTAAAGCTGATTAATAATTACACAGAATCCCATATGCATTTCAAAAAGGAGAGTTTTGCAACACTCAAATACTAAATCTCATTGACACACGTAAAAGAGCAGACAGGAAATGGCTACAGATTGACAGATAGTGCTGACATCCTACCGACAAATCTTACATCGAGTCTCCACATCAGGGATATTGGATCCAACCCCGGATGCCAGATCCTGTTGGAAAAAATATCCATTTTGTCTGGTACCCAAAACCTGTTAATAGCCAGTTTTGTCCAGTACCCAAAATCAATCAAGCAATATCAATGAATTAATCAATTGAGAATATATTATTATTAATAATTGAATGGAATAATAAAGTGATCAAATGATAAATGATTAGAAACGAATGAATTAATAAATAAAGAAAATAACACAAATGTATGGTTGCTCTCTTAAAGCAACAAACTCAGGTTGCGAAGAGTCCTTAGATCCAAAAACGTTTTTCTTCGTTTTCTTTTACATCTGTTGCTTGATTTGTTGAAACTGCCCAGAAATACTTAAAACAATGAGAATCCCCTCGACATGACGGATATGTTTTACAATGTAACCGTAAAGTTTCATAAAGCTGTAAAGTACACAAAAATGTCAAACTAAATTAAGGATACAAAACAAAGATTGTTCAAATACATAAAGGTCAAGTTTTAATTTCCTGAGGCTCAATCTGGGCAATATCAATACCCATATGCCATTTTCAAATATGTGCCACATAAGCTTGTAAGTGGATTTTATAAATTCAACAATTCTCTTCATTTACTTCTGAAGCTTAGCATGGTGCTTATGATGAGGCAAAATCCTCATCACATTCAAACTGAGGCTAGTAGTCAAAATCATGACGAAATAGATCAAATATAGCTTAATGTAACAATGAACAATCTGAATTAAGCATAAAACTATAACCGTAGATTACATCAAATAGAGAACCACCAGTGAAACTGTTGTCAAGTAAATGAAACAACTGGCAGTTTGACTGAATTCTGTGCACTCAACTATACTCAATTTAATGTAAACGTATCTGACCAATTTCAACACAAAGTTCTCACTAAATCATTCAACATTCACATCCTATTACATGTGCATTCAGCTAATATTCTCTATAAGCAAATCCTTCAAAACAGTCATTGTAATATTGGTAAATATTGACTGTATGATATTTACATAAAGGATGAGTAAAAATGTTTGGAGTGAAACTACTGGGTACACACTGTCTCTTAACCTGAAATTCATCAGATACATCAAGATTTGAGACAAACATACAAGTGTAGAAGTTTAAATGATAATGGTGATCGCAGAAAATTTGAAATGAAAATATATAAATAAAAAAATCTAACACATTTAAGGGTTGTCAAAGTTAATGCGTTAATGTAAAATGGTTATTAGCACACTATTTTTTAATATTTACCAAATGTGATGATATTATGATTTCCTCATGCTTTTCAAAGATGTAATTCATGACATTAATCAAAATTGTAGTTGCAGCTATTTTAAACAGTAAGGAATAACAAACAAATCTTGTTTTGATTTTAAAGATTTATACATCTAACAAAACAAAACTTATAAATACAAATTAAAGTAAATATTTTAATAATTTTCCATTTAATTTTTGGCCTTAGTACAGTGACAATAATAAAGCTTATTTTTATCTTTAAAAAAAAATGTAATAATATGACATAATATTAGTATATATGTGTGTATGTGTGTGTGTTTATAAAATAAAAAATAATATTAGCACACTATTTTTTAATATTTACCAAATGTGATGATATTATGATTTCCTCATGCTTTTCAAAGATGTAATTCATGACATTAATCAAAATTGTAGTTGCAGCTATTTTAAACAGTAAGGAATAACAAACAAATCTTGTTTTGATTTTAAAGATTTATACATCTAACAAAACAAAACTTATAAATACAAATTAAAGTAAATATTTTAATAATTTTCCATTTAATTTTTGGCCTTAGTACAGTGACAATAATAAAGCTTATTTTTATCTTTAAAAAAATGTAATAATATGACATAATATTAGTATATATGTGTGTATGTATGTGTGTTTATAAAATAAAAAATAATCATATTTTTGGGTTACTGGCATCAAAAAGATTGAAAACCCTTGCACTATAAAACATCAAAAGTTATACAGCAGATTTACACAAACCCTTGGTTACGATGTTTGGCAGATGTGCTCTAGAAGAGCAGTATAGTTTTAGAAAACCTTACATTTTGAACCCCTTTTACCATTTGATGAAGACAAGCCCTGCAAGTACACTGTAGCCCAGTGCAAGAAACAGCACCTTCAGTAGCCTGTCGTGTTTATCCTCCAGCTCTCGTGAGAGGATCTCAAAGAACGTAATGAAGAGGAACGTCCCGGCTGCCAGGCCTTGGAGCACTACAGATATAATACTTTCTGCCAAGTGCTGGACCGTCTGAATACCCATTCCAATCCCGATGCCCAGAGGAATCATTAGGCTCACTGTTACGGCCAGTTTACTGGCATCCCGTAAGGAGATTCCCGCCTTGGCTATATTAACCCCCAGTGCCACTGCTGCCAGCGTCTCGTGGATGGCCACACCGATGAAGAGGGTTCCGAGTTTAGCTCCATCTTCCTGAAGGCCCAAAGCGAGACCCTCAAAGACAGAGTGAGCGGACAGCGCTAACACCAGGCTAGCTAATCTCAATGGTCCAGCGTGCATCAGCTCTGAAGGGCTGAAGTGTCCGTGGTGATGGGAATGGTACTGGTGGTCTCTGGAACCTCGAGCGGGAGCGATGAATGGAGCATCATTCTCTGAGTCGCTCCCCGCTGCTGAGCCACCAGCATTAAACGTCTCCAGGTCGATAAACGAGGGCTTCTCCTTGCGGAAAGTGAGCACGGCCTGCTCCACAAATACTGTGAGAAAAAACCCAATCATCATCATCGTCTCTGCCAGCGGGTACTGATTGGCGATATGTAATGTTTTCAGGACGTCATCAACCTGAAAGCAAAAAGGTAAGAAGTCAGATCTTCTATAATTTGATTCCCAGTGAACTTCCTGATGGTAATACTGGTTGTATAACTGACTTTAGTTTAGTATAACAGATAAATACAATCCTTAACCCTGTAAAGACTACAGGACTATTATTAAAAACAGTTTATTTAA